ACGGAAAGAAAGGCAGGTATACAATGCTTACATAAAGCCTAGTTGTCGCACTAGCCCGAAATTAGCAAGCAAGATTTCTGTAATATGTTGATATGTTTGAGGAAATACAATCTATAGAACTGAACTTTGAAGCATAGGAAAACTTCCTGGTAAAGTGGAATCAAAACTGCTTATTAACACAGCTGCATTTACCTATATACATCATACTACTTGCACTAAACTTAAATACAATTCAATACTTTTTGCAGCACAATAAAAAAATAGATGAATCTAGAGGACATGATTATCCCACATTGACTTTTCAGTCTACATATCCAGCTTCTGGGTTTATTTCCAATGCGTCACAAGAGGAAAATGATGGCTCCGATTGTCGTTAACAAAAGGTAAATACTTGGTCGCCGGAGGCATGACGACCAACAACAATTGCATTCTTCCAGCTGGGTACAAGACGAGGTATATTGGAGCAGATGATCGGCTCTCGAAATATCGTCCCTCCAATAATGTTACGAATAGTTCCATTTGGAGACTTCCACATCTTCTTCAGCTTGAATTCCTCAACTCGGGCCTCATCCGGTGTTATTGTTGCGCATTTTATGCCCACATTATATTTCTGAATAGCATGAGCAGAATCAATGGTGACCTGATCGTTAGTTTTGTCGCGATTTTCCAAACCCAAGTCAAAATACTTGCAATTGAGACTCAGGTAAGGATGCAGGAGCTACAATACAACGTTGGTTATGTAGACTGCGACTACCTGTTCCTTAATTTTGGCCCAAATGATTCGAGTCATCTCATCACCATCTAATTCAACGACCGGATTTTCCACCTTTATGCGACTCATGTAACGACATGAAGCTGGGAATCTTTCATCCATTTAAAGCCCAAAACATACCAAAATTGGGGACGATGGATACCCTTGATGTAAATCGATGTACGCAATACATGATTACAGCGGCAACTCCAGCGCTTCGAAAGTCCTCCTAATATGATAATGCCCCAACCTGATACATTGAAAGCAGCATTTATGCACATTTCGTTTGGAACTCTATTTTATAGGTGTCAGCGAAATAATTAAAATAAGCTCGAGTAATTTTATCAAAGGTGAGCAATCGATTCGACAAGTTGTATGTGACTTAATAACCTTTAATTTCATAGCATGCATCACTTTTTGATTTGTAAGAGGAGCAACATCATTCGCAAGAATACTTCTCATATCGTGTGCTTTCTTTATGGTTTTGTTTACGAGGTGGGCACATTTGTGGAGTTCTGTCAAACATTACACCATTTAACTTTGCCCATATTTAAAAATGGAAGTAGAGGTAAGTTTCCTCTCCTTTACTGCATCGCGGCGATTGGAACAACCAACGAAAGTGTCAAAGGCATACTTTGCTACTGTAGTTATGACTCTTAAAACAACCTGTCCGGATTAGTGCAAATAATGGGAATGTGTGTCTTCGGGCTTACGTCCGTTTCAAATTCATTAAATGTATTTCCATTTTTAAGCTTTAGCGCACCACATAATGGCTAGGAATTTTTAAATGGGCTTTGATTTTGGCCAAATGTAAATCGGACTATCCCAGTTGTAGGTGAAATGAATGTCAGAGGTCATACCTGAATTAAACGTTGAATTAAAAGTCTTATCCAAATTGCGCAAGAAGTGTAAAAGCAATATTTGGTTGCGATGGTTGTATTTCGATAGAGTGCACATTTTTATTTGTGTTAGCAAATTTTTTTAGGCTGCGAATGGGAAGTTTTACTTCGGACAAGCGCGGTTATGTTTTTAATGATCGCCGTGCCTTGTTGCGGTATTATCGTTAGTGAACTTTCAGTCGCCCCAAATTAACTGATCTTTTCTTGTCGCCCGTTTTTCAGGAGATCCCTGAGATAAGCATGTGGATGCTAGACTAATGTTTTTTTTAATATATTCCAACCAGCACTTCGTAAATCCTTGGTTCATCGTTTCGGGCTTTCTGCGAGGGCATTACAATTACTGTAAGATTTTGGGTCTGATCTTTGATCGTGTATCGCTAGTATTACTTCCAAATTAGCGTAAGTTTAGAATAAGCGTTTGGTTTATGAGGTGGACTTCGTTGGAATAATTACTCAGCATGGGACTAGGCTGATTTAGAGTGGATGGTTCTGAGCTGGAGTAATCGCATGAGACCCAAACGCATTGTCGCAAATGATGCATTTAAGCATCGGAAATCTGCATTAAAATGCTTCCAGACATCGGTCTGCTTTAACGGCCTCGTTCCGTACCTTCCAGCCGCCAAACTCCATTCCTCTCTAAGATCACATTCTAACATCCAAGCAAAACCACAAATCTACAGAGAATGTCATGACAATACTGGTAAATAAAATATCGACTGCAAAGCGGTAGACTCGACTGCGGCTTCCTCGTAATTTCTCCAGTTCAGGTAATATGGAATTGGCAAAAAACGAAGAACACGCAGCGACAAAGAGAGATGTTTCGAGGATAGCGAGTGTGATTACGCATTCAGTGAGGTGTCAAATCGACCACTAATCTTGATGTCCATGCATGCGTCAAGGGCTCTGGTCAACAGTCAACCAGTCATTTCCCACTGCCTTGGCCACTCGGCACAATTGCCACCGACCCACAAATCTCCCTTGGACTGGTTTCAGTTTCTCCCTCCTTTTGATGATACTCACGGTCATCTGTTGACTCGTGGAGTCAGTCCTTCCTCACTTCGGGGTAATTTAACGTGAGATTCGTAACCGACCCACTAGCAAATAGGCATATAGCACGATGGGGATTCACAAGGTAGTAGTAGGGAAGAGCGAACCATAACTAGGGAATACGCCATGAAGTGGTCGTTGTGCCATCTTTGAAAGGTCGAACTGTACTTGAAGTAGGAGTGAGGTTTAGCAGTACTCTTCCTTCAGTAGATAAGAAAAAAACTTCCCGTTTCGTCTTTTTCGTTGGCTCTCTTTTTCCACAGATTTCGGAGGCCGTTAATTCTGCTGGCACATGCTGCATAAATGGCTCATGTTGATGAGAGAGAGAGAGAGAGAGAGAGAGAGAGAGAGAGA